GTGTGGGTGTGACCATGGAAGTATTTGTGTGCACCAGGATTGCTACTGCTCTGTCTTGGTACCAAAGGATGTTGGGAATGAAAAAGGGGAAGGGGAAGAGGCCAGGAATGAGAAGGGAATGGGGAGAAGTATTAGGAAAGGGATGATGGGAGTGAAGGTTGGGGAATCGGTTTCACCCACCAGTAAATGTAGGAGATGAGAGCCAAATGCCCCCTCCTGCTGCCATGGCAGACATTACTAATCGATCATATGCTCTTTCTCATTGAATCAGGATGAGGCCTCAGAATCCTTCTCAACACAGCATTCCAGGCAGCCGCCTCCAATTGATTGGTTTGCAGGATCTCATCCTTGGTGCCACCCAAGGCATGTGAGATAGCCTCAGAAAGGGGAGTTAGGATGGGGCTGGGCTCATTTGCCTGTCTCAGAACCTGAGCGGCAGAGCACTGCCCTTCTACAACACAACCTCCATATCCATGTGAGCAGTTACCCACACTCTTCTGGCTTCACTGAACCTTAATCAGGGCTATGGGGCATGCTCTGACCCACAGGCCATGACTCCACCTATTAGCTGGGGTTCTACCCCAATTTTTCACCCTACACTGTAGCCATACCCTTTGCTGTGTGACTTTGCAGTTCCTGTCACTCAGAGGCATAGTCTATTTCTCTGACTCTTGAGGCTAAGTTCTGCCATGGGACTTGGTTTGGCCAATGGGATGTTAGCAGAGGCTTGAAAAATGTATCTTTCTGGTTTCTCTCTTAAATTACCAGGAGGACATGCTGGAGCTGTACTGCTGGAGGATGAGGCATGTGGAGTAAAGCTGTCAGCCTAGTCATTCCAGATCAGCCAATAGCCAGCCAACCCCCGAAAGTAAGACAGCCCAGCCAAGACCAGAAGAACCGCCCAGCCAAACCCAGCCAAAGTTACCAACCTGTAGACTCATGAGAAAAATAAATGCTATTGTTTCCAGGCATTGGGATAGTTTGTGATGCAGCATTATTGTGGCTGTCAGTAACGGATACATACTAGGACAGGCGTTCTCAACCCTGGCTGCACTTTAGAACCACCCAGGGAGCATTTAAAAATTCTCATGTCCAGATCAAACCCTATTTCAATGAAATCAGGATGTCTGGGGGGTATGTCCCAAAGAATAGTACATTTTAAAGTTCCCTGAATGATTTCAATAGGTAACCAGGTTTAGAATCCCTGTATCGGGACTAAAAAAACCCCTAAAAACAACAATAACGAAAAAACAAAACTAGTTGTCATCAAGTCGATTCCGACTCATGGCAACCCCATGTGCGTCCGAGTAGAATTGCGCTCCATAGGGTTTTCAGTGGCTGTTATCTTTCAGAAGCAGATCACCCCCAGGCCTTTCTTCCGAGATGCCTCTGCAAGGACTAGAACCTCCAACCTTTCAGTTAGCAGCCTAGCATGTTAACCGTTTGCACCACCCAGGGACTCCATACCAGGACTAGTTCTCCATAAATGCAATCACTTTATCCCGTCTTTGTGTCTGTTAACAACTTTGTGCTTATCATCCCATATTTTTCACATAAGATAGAATTAAGGATCCTGACTCTGAGCGGACAAGCTTGGAATCGGCCCCACCATTTACCAGCTATATGCAATTTAGCAAAGTGGTTAAACTTCGGGGAGCTTGACTTTGCCATCTGTAAAATGGGCTCAAGACAAGTCACCTCCTAGGGTTGTTGTGAGGATCATTCACTTGACAAGTATTTTTTGAGCATGTGCTCCAGGGATAGAAAAGAGAATGAGCTGAGAGGGCATCCTCCCTGGAGGACAGTACTGACCCCGGAGGAGTGTCCAGGGCAGTTCCAGGAACACAGCAGACACTCAGTGACAGCCACGATTACCGCTATGGTGTTATTATTATGTTGGTATTAATATGCATCTCTCAATAGACTTAATGTTCCCTGAAGGCCAGGACTGTCCATCTAGTCCTCTGCTTCCCACAGAGACCAAGTACCACCTCTCCTATCCATAGGGCTCTTTGGTCTACGGGGTCTAAGTAGATTAGCAGAAAGGTGGTCTTTCTTATTTTCTGGGAGTAGGTGAGAATTAGTCCTGAGTGATATAAACAGTTAACAAACTGAGCTGCTAAAGGAAAGGTTTGAGTTCACCCAGAGGCACCTTGGAAGAAAGGCCTGGTGATCTACTTCTGAAAAATCAGCCATGAAAACTCTATGTGGCACAGTTCTACTCTGACACCCATGGGGTCGCCATGAGCCAGAGTCAACTTCATGGCAACTGGTTGGTGAGAGATGGAGCTAAGAAGAGAAAAGCGGGGGCCGGCTCCAGACCCTAAGGGGCGTCAGGTGGGCCGGGAGGGCCGGGAGTATCCTGGAAGGAAATGCTTTGCTCTGAGCCCTCTGTGGAGGTGTTGGGTGTTGGCTCCATCATCCTGCCCACAAACTAAGCTGTCACAACTGCCACCAGGGGTGCACACAGAGGGTCCTTGTTAGTCCTGAAAGGGCTGTGTGTTTCCCTCACCCCAGGCTCTCCTGGCCACACACCTCCCTTTCAGCCAAAACATACACCAGGGGACACCCAGCCACACCCACGCAACGGAAACCCCCCCACCCCGGGCTCAGCCGCCCTCCCCGTCACGGGGAGATGCCAGCGCTCTCCAACACCCTCTGGCTCAGCTGGCCTGAGTTCTGGGTCTGTAACCACGGCGACGGCACCTTTGTGTGTGGCTGTGTGGTTTTTGAAAGAGCTCTGGGAGGCAGAAGTGTTCTCCTCTCAGCCTGCAGACAAGGCCCTGGCGTCCTCAGGAAAGGGACTGACATTTCTAGAAAGCCCCTCTCTCCCCTATAAATCCAACTTCCTGTCCCCCTGTGAGGTCCCCTATCTGGCGACAGCCCAGAAAAGCTGAAAGGGCCCTCCTCAGCTCTTGGGGGTCTCTCCCTGGCCCCGATCTCCTCCCCAGGTGCGACAGCCCTGCTCTCCCCGTGGGGACTCACATGCGACTGCTGGGTGGAATCTTGCGGCCATCTCGGAACCAGGTCACCTGCGGCTGGGGGAAGCTGGCGATGCGTGGTGCGCGGATGACGGCAGCTTCTCCGTGGGAGACGCTCTGGCGCTTCTCGCCCTCCTCAAAATTCCCCATGTCTGCAGGAGGGAGAGCGAGCAGGGATCAGCCTCCTGCTTGGCAGCGGTGGCAGTAGCGGGAAAATGAGGGGCAGACAGGATGCTGTGGGGAAGGGGAGCATCTGGAGCTGGGCTCACCATGCTCAGAGCACCACATCACTCCATCACTCACCCTCTAACCCATCACCAGGATGTCCCCGGCTTTGTGCTTTTGGCTTTTTAAAAATTATTTTATTTATTTTTTGTTGTTGAAAACGTATTAGCAGAACATACACCAATTCAACAATTTCTACATGTATAACTCAGTGACATGGATTACATCCTTCCAATTGTGCAACCATCCTCATCCTCTTTTTCCAGATTGTTCCTTCCGCATTAACATAAACTCACCGTCCCCTAAGCTTCCTGGGCTTTTCTATCCATTGTCTCAGTTGATTCATGGAAAAACCATGAAAGGTTGGTCATTATTTCACAACCCAAAAAACTGCTCACATGAGCTCAGAGAGGCTAATTAGCTTGTCCAAGGTCACACAGCTAGGAGGGGGCTGAGGCAGGATTTGAACTCAGACCGCGGACTCTGGAGTCGGGGGGAGTTGCTCCTCCTTCCCAGAGTACCGCAGTTTTTGGGCCAGATTTCCATGTCCTTGGGAGGAGGGAAGGATGTGCACACAGAAGGGGGTGCGCTCTCAGGACCCAAGGTTCAGTGAGGTTCATAAATGGGTGTGGAGACAGGAGATGATTTCCCCTATGCCTCGGGCGGGGAGTGTGTGAGGTTATGCATATGCGTGAACATAAACACCATATTGCTCTTTTTAAAACATGCCTACCCACTTGGCAGATAAAGAGGGGAAACATTTATTTAGGCGCTGACGTTCTGTCAGCCAGGAGGGAAGCAGAGAGCAGAGGACGCACAGGTGGGAAACTTCTGGAGCCCGCCTGCCTGCTCAGGTCAGGAAATGCCTGATTACAACAGCAGGGGCTTGAGATGGGGTGTAGGAAGGGGGTGTTTATGCTGACCACCACAGCTCTTAAAATGAACACACATCTTTGTTACTCAAGAGACCCTGGGTGGTGCAAATGGTTAACACACTCAGCTACTAACCAAAAGGTTGGAGGTTCGGGTCTACCTAGAGAGGCACCTCGGAAGAAAAGCCTGGTGATCCACTTATGAAAAATGAAAAATCAGCCATAGAAAACCCTGTGAAAGTACAGTTCTCTGTGACACACATGGGGTTGCCATGAATCAGAACCGACTCAATGGCAACTGATTCTTGCTACTCAAAGTGTGGTCCGTGCACTGTAGCACGGGCACCTAACAGGTGCCGGACAGAATTGCAGAATCTCAGGCCGCATCCTAGATCTGCTGAACCAGAACCTGCATTTTAACAAGACCCCCTGGGAAGTATGTCCATACGCAACTGTGAGAAGCACTGTTTGTTCTCAAATCTGGCTGCATATCAGAACCACCCACAGAATGAAAAATGCTGATGCTGAGGCCCCACCCCCAAAGCCTCTGACTTCATTGGCCTGGGTGGGGGCTGGCCATCACAGTTCCTACAGCGGTAACGTTTCAGACCCCTGACTCACAGGCCTTAACTTCCTCCCGCTCCCTCCCTGTTATGGACTGAATTGTGTCCTAATCCCTGGTCCCCATGAACATGACCTTGTTTGGAAGCAGGGTCTTTGAAGATGTTATCAGTTAAGATGAGGTCATACTGGGGCAGGATGAGTCCTAATCGCATCTGAGTGCTGTCCTTATAAAAGAGGAGAAAAGACACGCAGAGAGACAGAGGAAGGACAACCACGCATCCACGCGCCAAGAGAGGCTAGGCGTGGGGCTACCAGAAGCCGGGAGAGACTAGGGAAGCTCTTCCCCTAGAGCTGACAGAAAGAGTGGGGTCCTCCACCCATACTCTCTGGGGGTGGGTGGGACCCAGACATCCGGTTTTTAAAGCTGCTCAAGTAGTTCCCGGAGTCCCTCGGTGGCAGAAACGGTTAAGCGCTCGACTACTAGCCGAAAGGTTGGTGGTTCCAATCCACCCAGAGGCACCTTGGAAGATAAGCCTAGCGATCTGCTTCTGAAAGATATAGCCTTGAAAACCCTATGGGGCAGCTCTACCCTGCACACACGGGGTCTCCAGGAGTCGGAACTGACTCCATGGCAACTAACCATAACAAGAGGCGGTTTCAAAGGAAGTCAAGGTTGAGGACTGCGGTCTTGGTTTAAGCCAGCGGTTCTTAAACTTTGGGGACGTGGTAAACACACAAAGGGGCTCCCACCTTTCTTTGTCCCCAGGAAAAGACCTGCTCTGAGGTCTTGATTGACTCTCCAGAGGAGTCGGCTACACACCGAAGTCTGCGGACCACTGACCCACGCTCTTATTTCCCAAGTCCTGGACTTGATTTTCTTTTGGGCCACACTGCGCCTTGGGTGGCGTCACCTAACCTGGAAATTCTGACCATGATCTCTCTGGGAATGACTCTCACATCTCCTCCTCTGGCTCCTCCGGAGCTCCAGGACCCCGTTTCCAACAGTCGGCTGAGCACTTCTGCCAGGAGGGCTCTTACTCACCTCCTCGCCAAGCCCTCCTTCTTGCTTTCTTCTTTCTGTTAACAGATCTCCCCGCTCCCACCTTGTCCCAACCACCTAGGCTCAAACCCTGGAGTCTTAGAGTCTATGGCTGTGTGGTACTGTCCTTCCCTGTCCATCACAAAGTCCTTCAGCTCTTCCTCTGGAATATCACTCTCATTTCCCAAGGCCCCTCTGTTCCCAGAGGACCAACAAGTCAGCCCCATTGCCCAGGCCACACTGCCTCCCTTTGTGGTCACCTACATCTGGATCCGTCTTGCATGCTGATCCTGCTTCATTTTTCTGATCACATCTCTATCTTGCTCAGACTTTTTGGTATCTCCTCACTGCCTCAGGAAAGCCTAAACTCCCTTGCTTGGATTCAAGGTCCTCCCTAACCTGATTCAAATCTACTTTTCTGCCTTTATGCCCATGCCACGTCATGTTCCACCTCCTACCACCTTGGATTACTTTACATCTCACTTTCTACCTCCCTGCCTGGAACGCACCCAGAACAAGCCATGATTCACCAACGTGCCATGATTCTACAGCACCCTGGAGGGATCTAGTCAGTTAAGTGCCTCCAAAAAGAAAATCTGCTGTTGGCATCCTTGCTGTAAATTTGGTAGGTAGTAGTGTAATGGTTAGTAGCTTTCAAATCTCAGTTCTCTTATTTACTAGCTATGAGGGGGCACAACTCTTTTTGGTATTTGTTTATTGTAGTTTAAGTGAAAGTTTACGTTTCAACTTAGTCTCTTACACAAAGATTTATACATACATTGTTATGTGACCCTAATTGCTCCCCCTATACTGTGACAGCACACTCCTCCTTTTCACCCCTGATTTCTTATGCCCATTCAACCAGCTCTTAACCCTCTCTGCCTTCACATCTCACCTCCAGACAGAAGCTGCCTGTTTAGTCTCATGTATTTACTTGAGCTAAGAGGCACACTCTTCACGAGCATCATTTTATATCCCACAGTCCAGGCCAATCTTTGTCTGAAGAGTTGGCCTCAGAAATTGTTCTAGTTCTGGGCTGATAGAGAACCAGGGGCCATGCTTTCCAGGGGTCCTCCGGTCTCAGTCAGACCATTAAGTCTGGTCTTCTTACTGGAATTTGAGTTCTGCACCCCACCTCTCTCCTGCTCCATCAGGGACTCTCTGTTGTGCTCCCTGTCAGGGCAGTCATTGGTGGTAGCTGGGCACCATCTAGTTCTTCTGGTCTCAAGCTGATGAAGTCTCTGGTTTATGTGGCCCTTTCTGACTCTTGGGCTAATACCTTCCTTGTGTCTTTGGTGTTCTTCATTTTCCTTTACTGCCAGTGGTTGGGACCAACTGATGCATCTTAGATGGCCGCTTGCAAGCTTTTAAGACCTCAGACGCCACTTATCAAAGTAGGACGCAGAACATTTTCTTAATAAACTTTGTTATGCCAATTGACCTAGATGTCCCCTGAAAGCATGGTTCCCAGACCCCCACCCCTACTACTCTGTCCCTCAAAGTGTTTCATTGTATTCAGGAAATTTCTTAGCTTTGGTTTAGTCCAGTTGAGGGGCACAGCTCTTGACCTTGCTGAGCCTTCATTTCCTCTTCTGTAAGACGGATTTAAGAATAGAACCTTCCTCATAAGGTTTTAATGAGGATTACATAAGATCATGCGTGTGTGTGGCAGGTGGTATATTTCCAAAGATGGTGGCATCAATATTTATTTCCCATCCCATATGTTCTTCTTACAATGTGATATACACTCCTCCCACTGAGAGGTGGGGTCTATATCCCTTCCTCTTGAATCTGGGGGACATGTGACTAATCCACCAATAGAATATGCTGGAAGTGGTGTTATGTGACTTTCGAGGCCGTATCATCCAAAAGATACAGCTTCCATCTGCCTCTCTCTCTCATGACACTTGCCCTTGGAATCCAGCCACCATGTTGTGAGGAAGCCCAATCTAGCCCATGCACACATGGAAAAAGGCAATGTGGAGAGGAACTGAGGTCCCTGCCAACAGCTAGCATCAACACTAAACATGTGAATCAACATGTGAGCCCACAATCTTCAAGTCTTCCAGCTGAGGTCTCATTATCATAGAGTAGAGACAAGCTGTCGTCACTGTGCCCTGTCTGCATTACTAACTCACAGAATCTGTGAGCACAATAAATGATTGTATCACATCATTAAGTTTTGGGGTAATTTGTTATGCAGCCATAGAAACTGGAAGAGTGTATAAAAGTGCTACAAAAATTGTAGCTAATATTTGCAGTATTACTAGATTGGAATTCTAAACATTTTTCACAGTTTAGTTTAAACATCACTCCCTCAACAAAGATTACCCCAAGCCATACAAACAGAATTAAAGAACAAAGACTGTGAAACACTTACCCTATGCTAGGTTTCTTTCTAGGTACACACCACACACATTATCTCATTTAATCCTCACAATAACATGACAAG